CGTGCCACCATGCCCAGCTAATTTTTTGTATTTTTAGTAGAGACGGGGTTTCACCATGTTGACCAGGATGGTCTCGATCTCTTGACCTCGTGATCCACCCGCCTCGGCCTCCCAAAATGCTGGGATTACAGGCGTGAGCCACTGCGCCTGGCCGATTATTATTATTCTTAAAGGAAACCTTTCATGAAGTACTATTTTAATACATTTATTGAAATATAGTACATGTACAGAAAAGTGCATAAATGGTAATTACATAACTTACTGAATTTTTATGAAGTTAATAGCCTGTATAACCAGCACCTAGATCAAAAACATTTTATGAGAACCTCAGAAACCCCTCAGGCCTCCATTCAGTTTCTACTGCTCTACCAGTGGTTATTAATTTTAACATCCACTATGGATAGACAGCATCTATACCTCATCCTACTTCCCTCCAAATTTAGCTTGATAATCTCCACCTCTCTCTTCCCCCCCACCTTCTTTTTTTCTGGAGACAGAGTCTTGCTCTTTTGCCAGGTGCCACGCTGGAGTGCAGTGGCGCAGTTTCGGCTAACTGCAACCTCTGCCTCCCTGGTTCAAGCAATTCTGCCTCAGCCTCCCAAGAAGCTGGGACTACAGGCACCTGCCACCATGCCCAGCTAATTTTTGTATTTTTTAGTAGAGACGGGGTTTCACCAGGTTGGCCAGGATGGTCTCGATCTCTTGACCTCTTGATCCGCCCGCCTCGGCCTCCCAAAGTGCTGGGATTACAGGCATGAGCCACCACGCCTGGCCTCTCTTCCCCTTTTCATCAGCAACAAAGTCCTAGAGACTGTCTGGAGATGCTCTCAAGGCCATTATGACCACTGGCAGTCTAAGATCTTAAGAAGTTAACATGAGAGCAGTTTGTTTTATTACAGTATGATCATTATCCAAACTTCCATAGCCCTTTTTAAAGAGGTGTATTGGAGATATTGGGTTGCCTTATCACCAGTATACCTGCCTTTCCCATTCAAGTTCAGAGGATAGTTGGCATCAAGTTTAGAATGAGAGTATCTAGATTGTGAAAAATTATAAGTCTCTAGAATTTATATGGTACTACCAGTGCTGCTTCAAAGATTTCAAGTGATACTCCAACTGTCGTCTTATTTATACAGCCATTGTCCCTGAAAGGGGAGATGGCCAAGAGATCTTAATGCACCATTCCTCCTGAATGGGTGAGTGAATTATGGGTCCCTGATCCTGATGGAATCAGGTCACAATTTACATGAGTGGCTCTAATGCTCTTTCCAATAAATTTGTACTAGATTTTACCATCTATGTATTTCCCTATAAGCACACCTTAAAGCATTTTGTGATCTGTTGGTCTCTTCTCCCCAGGAGGTTGCCCCAAAGCCTGTTGTGATCTCTACCCCCACGCCCACCATTGTACGTCCTGGCTCCCTGCCTCTCCACTTGGGCTATGATCCACTTCATCCAACCCTTCCCTCCCCAACCTCTGTCATCACACAGGCTCCACCCTCCAACAGGCAAATGGGGTAAGTACAGAGAGCAGGGAGAAATAGTGAAGGCTACATTTCTTTCCATTACACAAAACTGTTTGATAAAACTGGGACCGTTTTTCAATACCCAAGGAAAATAAGCCACTGAGATTATCTCTCAAAATAAATTTCTCCCCCACAAACAGAATCTTTTTTACCTTTTTAATAGACAAGCAAATATCTATTTGGGGATAATACTTTCTTAATTTTAGGGTTTAATAACTTCTTCAATCTAAAAAGAGGAACCCTTAAAGCATTAGAAGTTCATTACAGTGTGGAAGCCACACCCTATAAAGTCTGTTGGGGCACTACTGAATGAAACACTGAAACCCGTTAGGTCTCCTCAGTCCCAGTTAGGGTTCTTGGTGTTTGCTGTCTCTAATTTTGTCTGTCTTCACTACTGGCACGGTACCCATGGGTTAAGAGGCTGTTGTCAGGATTCAGATTCTTAGAGCTTATTGTTCTCTGGACCAACTAGGAAAAATAAAAAGGGACAGCTTCTTTTTTTGGGCAGGGTAGAGCAAACCATGGAAAGGAACAAGAGAAACATTCAGATTTGGCCATCATGTGACCTGATTCAGCTTTGCAAAATGATGACTTTGATCCAACTCCCCCTTTCCCAAGGCAAGCCAGTGGTAGGAATGTTTAATTGTTCTAAACCCTTTAATAGGATTAGCTTCCTACTATTTAAATTTGCTTAATTTGCAAGCTATAAAGATTTTGCCATTTTTCTCTAAAAGGTAAGCTAAGTAGGATTCTCTGCCTTCCCACCTTCATAAGGGTGTCAAGGTTTTTACCATGCTGCCCTATACCTTCCCTAACTAACGAAGACTGGAAAATCTTCTGTAATTATGGGAGAAAGATCCATGGACAAAAGGTCTGTGTTACGAGCATTTCACTTCATGTCTCCTCTAGGTCTCCCACTGGCTCCCTCCCTCTTGTCATGCATCTTGCTAATGGACAGACCATGCCTGTGCTGCCAGGGCCTCCAGTACAGATGCCGTCTGTTATATCGGTGAGCTCTGTAGTTGGGGCAGCCAACCCTACCAACGTGGTAATCCTTCCCTTCCACCTGAATGGTCATAAAACACACATGAGCCCCAGGGAAATGTGGGCTCTGATCTGTATTAGTTGAGCGTGGCAGCCTGCCTAAACTCTTCACTAACCTCTGCCAATCCAGCACTGTGGAACACTAGATAAAGACTCATCTGGACAATTGGCTCCTGGTCTAGGAATTGATCTTGCCAGCTTACTGATTAGTTGCTTTCACTTGGCACGTAGCACCTCTCAAATTGCCCAACATTTTCCTCAAGATACAGCCCCAACCCTTCCCACAGAAATTGCCCCAACACTGAAGGACTAGATTCCCTACTTTGTGGTGCTCCATGGGGAAAGGTATTTCCTAGGCTGTCCCTGCATGCCCCATGGGCACATTTCACAGAACAGGCCCTGACATGCCAATCTCAATCCTCATTTTAGGGAAACTGTTGCCCCACCAATAGTATTATGTTCCCTTCTGGTTTTTTTCCTTCTCTTGATCCAGCTGGCCAGACCTGTGTCCATGGTGCCCAACATTCCTGGTATCCCTGGCCCACCAGTTAACAGCAGTGGCTCCATTTCTCCCTCTGGCCACCCTATAGCATCAGAAGCCAAGATGGTGAGTATATCCCAGCCTGGGGCAATATTGGCCTTTCTGAAAGAAGTAGGTGGTATCAGCCTAGGTCTTTCAAGTGAGCCAAACAAAGGAACCTTCTGGGGCTTGCAAAGCTAAGGACTCCATGCCGTGGGGTCTGGAAAAGAAAAGACTCTGATTCATAGCTCCCATCTCCTCTCCCCACCTTTATAGCCTGGTACATAGACCATGGGAAGTGAAAAGAGGCAGCACAGATTGTTTGGAATGGAACACTTGCCATTTTAGTTTTAGGGTAACAGATGGAGGGTGGGTGAGTGGGCAGGGGAGCTGGCCAAGAGGTGGATAGCTGCGTAACCAGCATCTGGCCAGGCTCCAGGAGAGAGCTTTCATCTGGACACTATTGCTTTAACAACCCCCAGCCCCCAACTGTGCCCAGGATGATAGCCAGGGAACAGATTAGACATTTTAAGGATCCAGGTGCACATTTTCTCTGCCTGTCATTTTCCCTTAATTCCTCTGTTAAGAGAGAATTAGAGTGGAAATTTTACCTATCTATAAGGTCAATAATAAAATCTAAGGCCACTCTCCTCATTCCTGATAGAATCTCATCCATAACAAGCGTTTTTTTCTAATCTTTGCCCACAGAGACTAAAAGCCACCCTAACTCACCAAGTCTCCTCAATCAATGGTGGTTGTGGAATGGTGGTGGGAACTGCCAGCACCATGGTGACAACCCGCCCAGACCAGAGCCAGATCCTCATCCAACACCCTGATGCCCCATCCCCTGCCCAGCCACAGGTCAGTTGGGCCGTTAGATGGGGAAACCACATGTGTTACTCTTACTCTTTATGTCCTATCTATTTTTCAAGGAGCAGAAAATTAGAGAAGAATGGACTTCAACTTTTTTTTTTTTTTTTTTTTTTTTTTTTTTTTT